TAAGGGGGAAATGTTTTAAAGCAATCGATTAAAAACAACCGCTCGCACACATAATTTTTATGTTCACTTAGGGAATGAGTGCTTCATCTAAACACCAATTTTCACCGGGGATTTTATTTCAAGCCCCAACTCTCCGTTCATTTGCTTCTTCATTTAGCGAATTGAGATGAGCTACAGTGGTGTTCATATAGGAAATACATAGATAGTTTAAGATAAGTGGAAGGAATTCCCTACAGATGTCACCCCACCAACGATCGAAGGAATCATTGTGGTCATCAGAGATGGCAAGGACGGGAAACAGCAGGATCTGGCGATACACCAGCTGAAGCACTTAGGTCAGAAATGGAAGCAGCTACAAACATGCTCCACATTCTATTAAGGAGGATTTAGGAGGAATATTAGGTGCTGAAGGTCTGGAATAAGGACATCTCATCAAGATTTCAAAAGCAAGAAGCCAGAGCAAATGTGAAAACTGATCTACAGAGGCATCACACTACTGTCAGTAACAGAAAAGGTTTTTAAAAGTGTTGCTGAACCGGACGAAAGATTCAGTAGACTCCCAACTTCGAGATCAACAGGAGGAATTCCGTGAGGATAGGTCGTGCACAGACCAGATTGCGACATTACAGATCATCGTTCAACAATCAGTTGAATAGAACTCACCACTATACCTCAACTTTCATGATTATAAGAAAGCATTTGACAGAATGGCTAGGAGAAAATTCTTCGACGCTATGGAGTATCTGAGAAAATCGTTAACATCATTCAGAATTCGTACGACGGACTACAGTGCAATGTCGTGCATTGAGGACAGTTTAAAGACCCATTCCAAGTAAGGACTGTAGTCAGATGCTGCCTTTTCCCTCCTTTCTCTTTCTTCTGGTGATTAACTTGATTATGAAGACCTCGACGACTGACGGAAAGCATGAAATATGTTGTACGGTTTGAAGTCAGTTGGAAGATTTCGCCTTCGCAGATGACCTGACTCTTCTATCCCATACACATCAACAAATACGGATGAAAAAAACTAGTGTAGCTGCAACCTTTACATCAGTACGCCTCAACATACACAATGGGAAAGACGAGATCTTCAAATGCAACACGGAGGACGCCAACTCAGTCATACTTGATGAGAAAACTCTGGATAAGGTGGAAAAATTCACGTGCCTAGACAGCATCATCGATGAACAAGGAGGATCTGATTCAGACGTGAAGACGAGGATTGGCAAAGCAAGGGCCGCGTTCATACAACTCAGGTACATAAGGCATTCAAGACAACAGTCAACTAATATCAAATTCACAATTTTTAATACGAACGTCAGAAAAGTTAATTTTATTGTATGGATCTGAAACGTAGGGAACTACCACAACCATCATCAAAAATGTACAAGTGTTTATACGCAAATATGTACGCAAGATGCTCAATGTCCGTTGGCCGGATACCATCAGCAACAACCTACTGTAGGAGCGAATAAACCAGCTTCCGGTTGAAGAAGAAATTGAGAAAAAACGCTAGGGATGTATAGGACATACATCATCAAACTGCATCACGAAATAAGTGCTAACTTGAAACCCTGAAGAGAAACGGAAAAGAGAAAGACCATGGAACACGCTGTGCCGAGAATTGGATGCAGGCATGAATAGGATTATCAGGAAATGGAAAGAATTGGAAAGGACTGCTCAGGACAGAGTTGGATGGAGAATTCTGGTGAATAGCCTGTAATCCTCCACGCGGGGTATCAGGCATAAGTATGGGCGGCTACGTCCGCATGACCAACCCATGCCATACCGATTAACTATTTTGAGTTCATCATTTCCAACCTTTACTAAGTGTTGCCTTTGGTGGTAAATTTTTATCATTTATCACACGATCTGCTTCAGGGAACCGGTTCCACCAGTTCCACCTTACTTATAAGGCAGGGAAAAAGTGGTAATCCCGTTCAAATCTGTCCGCCATTTCGTTTCGTCAACCTTGAACGGCCTGATCAGAGGCGGTCATTCTGCGTTTCAGTTGCTGTGGGTGTGTTGAGTCCTATGAGGATTACGTTTTTCCATATTTAAGTCATCTTCTGATGCATAAAAATCAAAGACTAACTGCTAAGAGCATTAATTTAACATTTTCTGTTTTGTAGTGCACACGTTAGTTCTGTTGTTCCTTCGTAACTTGATCTGTGGTCCCAACTGCTATAGTGAACGTCAACACCTTTATATAATTTCTTGATAAGGTCCAGATAAGATAAGATAACGTAAAAAGTTATAGATACGCATAGTTTTCGTGAGTTAAGACGAAATGTCAACTGAAGGGTAAGTCCTAAATATTTGTTGTTCTTCTTTCAGTAATTTTTATTCATGGAATAACCCTTTTTTAAATAATTAATGCGTTTTGTCTGTAGTGCTCCATGCTCAAGTGAAATTTCAGTGGACCTAAGCGACGCGTTTCAACGTATTATGCTGAACAAGGGATTCGGAAGCTGGATTGAATTTGATAATTCGCTAAAGGATTTCCATAAAGTATGGTAGAATAAATCTATGTTTTTTCAGATAACCCATACACACTACGTTCACGCAGAAAGTAGATTGTTGAAGGATGTGAGATTTAAATACTTGTTCATGGTGTTTCGTTGCACGTTTGGTCGTAAACGTAAATCAGAAGGTTTGACAGTGAATAAAAAACCGTGAGGACTTTAATTAATGTGTGGCATTTAAGGTCTAAGTTTTTAAACTGCCAATCGATGTTTCGTATAAGACTAAAGGGCCAAGAATACGTTATAAAGTCTTACAACATGTCTCACAACCATCTGTGTAGTAGTTCTTGGATGGTTTGTGATCCGTGGAGTAGAAGATTGTCATCAGAAGAAAAAGAAAACTTGAAACCAGTTATATTGCACTGTCAGTCGACAGATGAAGTTGTAGAAAGTATTAAGGAGAGAACAGGTAAGCAAGTGACCGCTGCTGACGTCAAAAATATGAAAGCGGAACTCTCCACTGGTAAGTATATAAATATATTTCAGGTTGTACTCGGAATCAAGTAATGCGCATGATGCGACAAAACGGTGAAGTTAGAAAATGGATGTATTACGGCAATATGCTTCAGCAGTTATGACCAGATACGGTTGTACAGTCAATATCCCGAAGTCGTGTGTATTGATTCTACGTATAAAACTAATAATAAAAAGTGAATATGATTTTCGTTTTATTCTTCTATGTAGATATTCATTATAAATTCGAATAAAATCTATGTTACAAGCACAAGCATTACGGAAATTGATGTGTGATGGAAAAAAGCCTGTTAATAACGACAATATGTAACGTGTGCGCGCAAACCAGTGGCTTAGCCTCCAGTCCGTGCCTACTTATACGTTATTGAACCTATGATTTACCCTGCCTCTAAGTGATGTGCAAAGGCTTCAGGGTGGTTAGAATAATTTTAATACCAAGATATTTAACAAATCAAGCGCGTGAAACCTGTATTATGACACATGAACATTTTATTATCCGATATAGTATAATCAAAATTACAATGCCCACATAAAATAAACAATTGAATAAATATTAAGGCTATAACGTTTAATCTTAACTGGAGATCTAAGGAAACTTATCCGTGTATGGTATTTGTAATAAGTGATGACTACTCCATATTCTTATTCAGTGGCTGATTAGATTTCCAAATATAATGCGTTCGGCACTGTAGAAAAGCGATATCTCCCATTCTTGCTCACACGCAATGTATTTTCATGTGTATCTTGAAACCTATATGATCTCGGGCTACTTTTACAGAGAGCTTAGACGCCATCTGAAACTACATTCAGGATGCAGCCGAAACAAATGCAACTCTTCACTTTATGCAAAGACAACTTGGTACACTCGCCCCAGAATTGTTTCCTCCACATTAACACGTACCCAAAACATTACTCCAAAGTCCACAATATTGGGTCTCCACACTTCGAACGAGACATGTGTCACAAACCAAGTATAAAGACCGACAACCAAACAGGTCAAAGAATAATCTTACATAGACAGACTACGACACTTGGAATTATTCTCGCTGAGCTATAAGAGAGTGTGTGGTGATCTGATAATGATGTACAACATATGAGTATGCCAAGTCGCTCCAACACGTGCATCCCACCAGAACATTATGAGCATGCTTAGCAAACCAACCACCGGAAAACTGCACATCAAGGAGAGAAAGCTCGGTCACACTCTCATTTTTTCTCACTTGGAGTCTCTCCCATTTGGAGTGTTCTCACAACCGAAATGATCGCAGCCTCCTCAGCGCATACCTACAAGAAGAGATTTGACGAACACACGCTCACCCATAGATTACCATCTATCACTTTGACTAGCTGTGCTGGATGCATGTCTCGTAACTTATCTACTACTATCGCTATCAAATGTCATTAATTTATTTCTACCTCACTCACTGTCAACTACGTCTCCCCTTTTCTTCCTACACTATGGTTTGCTCACGACGTTTCTATTGCTAATTTGCTAACCTGTTTATTTACTTACTCCTTGAAGCGGTTGTTCACTTTTAGCATTGGAGTTTTCGTCATATTATTTCTCACATTGCAATCATCTAACCTGCTGTCTGGTAATGTGACATTTCCTGGTTCAAGAAACCTCAAATGATCTGAGAAAAACCCACTCACTATCATTAGAAGATGTACAAATCCAAGCCATTAATAATAATAATAATAAACTAGATACCAAACTGAGTGGAAATAGTAAAGTCGAGTGGCTAGACTGTCACTCACTGAACACTGCAAAAGGCCTAAAAGCGCACAAAGACAACAAGAGGCGAAGACAGAAGAAGCAGTCGATTTACATAAGCTCATCACTAAGCGGTTGGAATTTGGATCCAAGAATGTGAAAATCCCTGTCAAGGCCATTATCACTAGTTTCAAAACGTTACTCCACCAACTCTTAGTTTTGACTGTTGGGTTGTTTCTACCTCACGGTTGTGTAAGTGCTGATTGTTGTCGGTCAGTCATCTTCAAATGGTGAGTTTGGCACCGGGAGTAAAGCATCTCCAAAGATTTCTGCCACCGCTTAACTCGAAAACGTAATTATTTGCTTTGTCACCATCCTATAAATTTTAGTGGTCGCGTGCATATATTTTTCTTCACTTTGGTGATATACTCGTGCTATCACTTATCCCGAAAACCGATTAGTATTGTAAAGTCAGTACTTCATCAGAATTGTTCTGAAGAAGCCCACAAAGAGGGGAAAATCATAGATCCTGGAAACGAAACATTCTGTGACTGGGCCCCTTTTGGTATGTGTTCATAAACTGACAGCTTTGAGTCTTACTCCTTGTGTTAGATGGTCAAAATTATGATTCCCTTTTTGGGACACTTGATCTGATTTTCCTCTCCTTTTACGCCGTTAGTATGTTCTTAAGGTAAGTTGGTGATTCATTTTTGTAAACATGCTGACACGGTAGTACGGACTTACTTTTTTATTGGTCCCATGGATTGAAATTTCTTAGACAATGTTTTCGGTTACTGAATTTGCCTATTACCGCAGAATCACTTTCAAGAACTATCTTTTTCAGTCTTGCACAATGAAGCGGACAGCATATAACAATGTATAATCAGTGTAGTGCAAGAGCTGAGTAGTTTTTGAACAGCGCTAAAAGACAAGTGTTTACAAGAGATTTATGGACAGGGGGTATTTTTAAGTGGCCTTTATGAAAGTGAAATATTTGTGAGGTTATTGACAAAACCAAGCTGTTGTAGGAACAGTGAGTTAATGGTCAGTCGCTCGGTTATCAACTGGTAAGCCATGGTTCTGGCCCTCATTCCACCTATTTCGGGCTGAGCAATTTAGTTGTATCGCTATCCATCATACTATTGGGGTTCAAATCTAGAGTTGTAAATCTGTATTTGGTTTGTGATTAGGTCAAGACGAATACATGAGTCGTGAGAAGTTTTGAAGAAACAACGTTCTTTTTTAGTGAGAAAAATACCGTAGTAGTCATGATTTCACAATGCCCTAATTCACATCATTGAAAACTTGTCTTCTTCTAAAGATCTAGCTCCTACTTCCATCAGTCGTACTTTATTTGGACGCATAAACATTCATACGAAGGGTCACCTAAAAATGTGTCCCACTAAGTGATTATCATTCAATTTATGTGGGCTGGGATACTCTCCGAGTGCCCAAACCAAAGGTTGTTTTTCTTAGGGGTCATCTCCCGAGCCCTTGACCTAGAGGTCTAATCCACAATGCAGTGAAACTGAGTCAGATGCGATCTTATGGTAATCACTAGCCAAGAATAAGTTCATCCACCACTCGACCTCCCAGGGTCCTGAAGCCTGTGTACACCTCTGACTTGGAATCAGGTTTTGCAAACTTCTTTAGGTGGATCCGCCGTACCCACCAAATCGGTTTGGCCTCCAGATATTCACTTTCTGTCCTCTCACTTCCGTAAACAACTCCACCGCGGCGAGAAAGCAGTGAGTAGAAATTTCCCGGCAGTGGCTTTATTTGTGTGGTTATATGAGAGAATTTTGAGAGGGAGAACGAACTCTCTCCACTTTTGGCCATATTAGGGGATTGTAAGGCACTTACATCAAACGATATTCGCTACCTTGCAACATATAGAAAATCAGTTATCCCAATCTCATAGTGTCACGACGGCTCGCTAGTATAAGTAACTGCAGCGTTCAGAGATTGTCACTACATCGTTTCTGACAACTGAATATTTTAGTAGCTGTAGATTAAGCATTTTTTCAAGGAATGACAATCAGGAATAGAAGACTAATAACGACCAGATAAGTGGTTTTTAAACAGGTTCTCCCATTCAAAATCAAAGTCTAGCAAAATTCGTATCATGAAAATCTCCAACAATCAAACTTGTCCTTCAGTGTTCAAAAGCAGTCTTCCATTTATTTCCTGTGGTGTTGGTTTACTACTAACGTGCCCTTCAAAATGATCTGTCATGAAGTTTGGAAACGTCTAAACATGCTTACAGTAAATTATGTACAGTTTAGTGCTTCTCTGTTTAGAAGTCCGCGTCCCAGTGAAGCATTTTTGTCTGTAGTTTCACTACGTGAACAGTTTTTGCAAAGCACATGATAAGCTATATGTAACCTCTCGTTTTTTTGCCATCAACGGTTATACCTTGCAACCAGAGTTGAAAGAACTACTGCAGCTTGGCATACTAGTTATTTAGAGAAAATCGCTGTCTCGAACGTTACGTGTAAGGAAAGTTAACAAATAACGAAGAAGTTCGTTCATTCCTAATAAGCTTTCACTGGTCACAATGTGGTTAGGATTAACAATTCCCAAATAAGTGGAGGAAATATGACATTTAATAACTTCACATATTAGCGTAAATGTTAAGCTAGGTCAATCCTAAACCATCATTTTAAAACATTTGTGAAAATATTCATTTTAGGGTCATTTCTTTAGGTGTTGCCAAACATTTTCAGCTTCATGTTTAGCTCAAAAACTAAGCCAACCAAAAACCACCAATTTGTAGAACAAACTTCAAGTTGCAAAACATGTTTTGATAAAAAGGACTTAAATGTGTGCAAAGGTCCTACTACATAAGGGTGTTACGATAGCATTTTCAAGGTGAGTTTAACCACCTTCCATCTTTCCAGTTCGTTCTGTATTCATTAAACTGAAATCACGTTAGAAATATGACGATTACACATTGGAAAGTATGACGAAGCCCTTCATTTTTCTATTGAGACTCAAATTAAGTTGTCAGGCAGTTGGATATACTCTTGGTCAACGAAGTTATCGTAACCAATGATCAGAGACTTTGAATGATATGGCTCAGAATCGTTTACCGCGTTGTAAGTGCACTCACCCTTTGTCGTCCCTGAAATCCTGAGCTTTTGAATTCGCTATAACTCTTGTTTCACTAATTTATATTTTCTCGAATGGTATCTTTGATGTCTAATCTTTTCTATCACCGCTCATACTATTACTACCTCTACTCTTCGGGTGCCTGGCCTGATAGTTTAATCTTTCTGTGCTTATTGGATGTGGGAACTCAAACCAATATACATACGTACCAAATTCCACATTTTCAATGACTGATTGATTGAGTATGGTCTCAGTATAACCTATTCTTTTTCCCATATATATATGAATTTTATTATAGTGGACATGTTGCCGATAAAATTGACCTTAGAATTTACCTATGCATTGGTACTCTTCTTTCTGGTGTGACGACAATAGCCTTTGGTCTTGGATACTTTTTCAATGTTCACTCGTTTGCTTACTATGCAGTTACTCAGGTAAGCAGACATTAATAACATGTGTATAAAAAATTTTCGGTTATGGGGTTGTCGTAGTAATTTCTTTAGTATATTTACAGTGCGGTAATCTCTCATTTTGAGCTAATATTGACTTAGTAATCTTCATTATTTAGTATCATATACGTTTAGATGTTTGTATACTCACTATTGCCTGTTAGAATTACTTGGTAGATTTTAAAGTAGGTGGAAAGTGAATTAACACTTAGATTAATCCATCTTATCGGTTTGTCTCTAGTTCATTCTGTGATGCGTTTATGTATTATTATATTGTTTAAAAAAATAAACCAATAAGTAAGTGTGAATATGTTTGTCTATGAATTCATTTACATGGATTAACTGGATCGTTTGCTTCACGTGTGCTCATTTTCAAGCCGTGTTGTCTGTATATGGTTTTGTTTACAATCAGTAATGCTCCTATTATTTCGACTCCTTTGTTGTTCATCTTGTCAATTTCATCTCAATGTGTTGATGTGTCATGGTTGGTTGGAACACATGACAAGGCCATTGCTTTTAGCTAAATACATCCTCACTACACACAAACTTACAGGTACTTTTAGTGCAGACAGAAATGATGAAGAGTTCTTTTTTGTTGGTATTAAAAGATTACATTGTGAACTAGTTGTCCCAAGCGATTCCTAAAATGGTAAGCAATAACAAGAAAGCCGTACGATAGTGATCACCAATCGAAAAGAAGTCCGGAAGCAAAAAGCACAGATGAGATACTACACAACACTAAGACAGAGCGAAAACTATTCTTTTAACAGACGACTAAAATAATGACGTAATACTTTGTTGGATTCATACACCCTGTACATTCAGTCAAACATTGTGATACTAGAAGAAATTAACGGGCAATACGGTTCGCAACCGCAAATATCTATATCAAATTAAAGTCTTGTCGAGGTTCATATAATTCAGATGTAGTTTTCATCATGGATACCTGCTACAATCCTACTGGAAACTGATGAATAATTAGTATTCACTTTATCCAACCTTGAGACAACATCACAGTGTGTATTATCGACCGATACAGGGTCAAGTCAATCGGCTTCCAAGTCTCGTGATGACCACGATATTCTTGAATCACCATATTAGAACTCAATGGCTCATAGTTTGTAACTCTTATCAATATGAGATAAATCATGAGTATCGTTTAGTGTCATCCGATGAACATCCGTTTCACTCCACGCATGACTAATTTCATGGCTTCTAACTAGAGGTTCGTAGACGTTCTCATTTGAGCCATCAATAGTTACCACAAAATATTTAGATTTAAAAAGGTTGACAGCTTAAACATTCTTAACTCGTTTATACGAATATTCGTCATCAATAGAATTTAATAGTTTGAAAAAATTGGGCGCCGAATATAGAGAAGACATGTGAAAATTATATTTAAGATAATCTCAGCAATTGAAATTTAAATAATTCCAACGTTTCACCCAGTAAACTTGTCTGGACTTCTTCAAAACCATCAAAGAAATATATAGGGTTAACAATGTTAATCCAATCGTTTTTGGATGTTTATTTTAGTAAATTGGATAACATGAGTCAGTTTAATGTGAATCATGTAAAAAGTTCACGTTGTGGAACTAAATGACTGAACGAATTGTGTATGTATGTGTAAGATTGAGTTATTAATGCTTGATATTCGGTGTTAATATGTTTTATGTGAAGGAAAAATAAAAGTTTCGATAGTGTAATAAGAAGACGAAGATTATCAGAACTATGTGATATATTAGCGCAATACATTTCGATCCATCTGATTACACATGTACTTGTTAAGAACATTTATATATAAAAATAAAAGGTCAACTAGACTAGAAGTGAAGGGTTAGAGGAGTCAGAGATAATAAGGAAATAATGTGAAAACAATCTGAAACCTCATCACTCTGGATAATGAGCTAATATTACCAGGGTAGGTTTAAGGTGAGAACAAACTGTTTTTGAATACACAAAGGGGGTTGGAATTTTCGTATTCAATTGTCTGGATGTTTCTCCCACATAAGCTGCATTACAATCATGGCAGTTAATCTCATAGACAGTATTTTGTTGTTCTTCCTTTGGGAACCTATCCTTAACCTTCACTAATGCCGATCTTATGGTGTTACACGCCCGAAAATACACTTATGTCATGTTTGTTTAGAGTCCTCTTGATTTCTCCCAATGTTTCACTACGGTATGAGATGACCACGGTGAACTTCCAATCTTTCGGTATACATTCTAGTTTCATTTTACCTTCATTTCTAATAATCTTCTTTAACAACTCTTTTGGATAGTTGTTATCCTTAGGTGTAAACAAAACTATTCAGTTCAACTTGTTGGTCTTCCTTATCTGTAACGAGCTTAATACTTCTGTTGATTAATTTTTTTACAACAGTGACTTTCGTACATAGCGTGTGAGCCGAACCATAATCTAAGTATCTCTCAGAATGTGTTGATTTCCTAAATACATTTATTTTCAACTTATTATTATATCTTCGTCCAACCAAACAATCGAGAAACGCTAGATTGCGGTCACTGAATTTTATTTCCTTCGTTAGTTTAATGCTCTCCGAAATGTCGTTTACATCTCCAAACAATTCTTCTAAACCATCCCACTTAGTGATGATAAAAATGTCACAAAAATGACACACTTCTCGCGATTGTACTGGTTTGTATTGAATGCATGAATAAATTCGCTACAATCGAAGAAACTAATGAACCCCTTGCTATACCTGCTTTTTGTCTGCGAAGGTCTCCTCGAAATACGAATTAGGTGGACCTTAGACATAATTCCAAGTATTTGATAACGTCAGATGTATCTAATGGGCATCGTAAATTCAAATCTGAGTCAGATTCTAAACAATCAAACAATATCCAACACTATTGACAGATACATTAGTAAATAAAGAAGATACATCAAAACTTACCAATATTTCATCCTCTTCTATATCGATGGTATCGATAATATTCTTGAATTCCAAAATCTCTAACTATGATTAATCAGTTTACCATACGGTTTAGGTATCCTAGTTAAGTATTTCGCCAGATTGTATGTCGGTGAATTTGTAAAATCGACTCCTGCTCTTAGTGGAGTATTATTCTTGTGAATCTTTGGAAGTCTAGAGTCTTCAAGGGTTACAGCTCGTTGGATATAACATGAACCATAATGACGATCCTAGTTTAACCTTTAACGATTGTAAGATTTTACTGGTTTCATCCTTAAGTTTATTAAGCGTTATCCTACTTTTTATTAAATAAAGAAACGAAAAGTAGGGTTTTCATTATCCACCCGGCAATTTTTGTAAAATTTTTTTAAAAAATCCCCCCCATTAAAAATTTTTTCAACCCCAAAATTACAATATTTTTCATCCCGTTTCGTCCAATGAAATGGCTAGTTTTAAAATTCGTCTTAATTGGTTAGTTATGTCTTGTCGAATTGTTATAAAATATCAGTACTTGTCGACGAAGTACATTTTAATCATCATTACGTGCCGAGTGCAAGCACTGTTGTTTCTCACGTAACAGAAACGGAGGAAGTCTTTTTGACAACATTGTTTCTCGTTGCGTTCCCATCGCTTGAAGCGTTAAAGTCCGCTATCACAAATTATGAAAGATCGACTTACTGTCATTGTGTAGTGAGAGATTCGTATTTGGGCAGAGATGAAAATTCGTATATTAGATTTGTGTATTGGAGAAATGGCCGTATAAGATCTAGCGGTTCGTCACAGCGGATTAGACGGAGGAGGTAATTTGGTTAATGTTATTATAATTTTCTTCACGAAGGGCTTCCATGAACACTCAATGTCCAGCCTTCATGTTTTGTAAGATTATAGACGGCTACTGGACTGTTGTACGTGGGAATGTGCATCACAATCACGAGTGCAATTCCCTGAGATATCAAAGTAATTCATAGGTGCGCAGGTTAACGGAGGCCGAGTTTGAAACTGTGCGACCGCTGCTGATATCTGGTACCGCTGCATTCCACATTAAGAATTATGCTTACCATTCTTATGGGAAACGTCTGAATGATCAAGATATCTTTAATATGCGGTACAAAGTGTTCTCACACGCGAACCTTCCTGGTAAGCAATTTGCCAATTTATAATGTAAACGATAGGTGATTACGGAAAATTAAAAGCTCACATAACATCTTTGGGTGGGCTTTGCGAATACGAATTAGACGATGATAACTGTCTATCGTATTTTTTTCTTCACGACTGGTGATCAAATGATTTTGGCAGGTCGTTTCTTTGATGTTATTGGTTTGGACGGGGCATACAAGACGAATAACGAGAACATCTATTTATATCAGGTCGTCGCCCTTGATATGAATTTTAAGGCAATACCTGTTTGTATTTCATTTATAAGTCGCGAAACATCGACTTTTATTTCTCGATTCCTGTTGTTTTTCCAACGGTCAACCAACAGTCGACAGGTGGTAGGCATTGTGACGGATGATTCACCTGCAATAGCTGCTGCCATCACGCAGGTGTATCCAAATGCTCACCATATTTTGTGTCGTGTACACCTTGTTCGCAATGTTATAAAGAGGGTAAGTGTTTCGTTCATTGACATTAACCCATTAACCGTAATTGTAGAGGGTACGATCAGAAGTGATATAACTTTTTTTTCGCCTGATGTTCACTCGAACGGTTGAAAGGTAAATCAAAAGCTACATAACATTATTTTGTAGTTTTAACAATGTATTATCCTTAATCGAAATATCCGACGGGACGTTTGTCCGATATGTTAGAGACCACCTACTACCGAGAAAACACAAATGGTCTACTGCTTTTCGACCATCAGCAACGCTACTTCAACTAAATAATACGGACTTCGTTGAGACAAGTCATCGAATTTTGAAGGTGCATCAGCTGAATCGAAAAACACCGGTGCTGAGATCTATTTTCAGTGTGCTACTTCGCACTGGATATTGGATGGAAGCAAGATGATAGAAATATACATCAGATTGTCGGATAAAAGCCAACATTAGTCAA